GAGGAAGGAAAAAAGGGAGAGAGAAATGTCAATAAGAAAAACATGGTCCCTTCCTTCAAAGTGCTCTGCAAAATTAGTTACAATCTGATACAGTATTCATTATTACCAGCTGCTTAAATAGGTATAAATAAGTAGTACAAGAAAAATTTCATTACTGTCAATTCTGAAAGCGCACCTTATTTCTCCCATTAGCAAATAAGCTAATGGGAGAAATAAGGTGGCAAGGATTTTTCTCCTTAGAACAGTGCCTGACATAGAAGGTACTTAACAATTATTTCAGTGAATAAATGCTACAGAAAAACTCGTAAGTCATAGGCTCTAAGTAATGTTTCCAAAAATGGTATGACAAAGTATGTAAACCTTCTCCTCATGCTCAACATTTTTGTGTTGGTTTGTTTCATTGGCCAGTTACTGAGAACTTGACAGGAAACTGAAAATAGTTGAGATGGATATATCTTACTACTTAATTCAACATAATGCTCTACCCAATTGTACTAAACCCTAGAAAATCTTCCAAGAAAGGAAACCTACAGTACTTCTATGACTTAGTCTGGAGCCCTTTTTCAAGTTCAAAGGGTCTCCAGATGTTTTCCTTTTTTTCTTATAATAGGTTCTGTGTTTGTCCCCACTTATGAAGTTAAAATAGGGATAACAAAAACATTTCAATTACTATCTATCAGGTACCAGGCACTTTTCATTTATTAACCCAGTATTTCAAAACAACTCTCAGTATTGTCATCAACATCATGTTACAGAATGGAAAAAATATCCTTTGAGTCTCTTCCACAGTCCTGGCTACAAGTAAAATACCATCTTATCAGCTGCAACCTGACTTTCATTGTTGTCCCCCATAACAAGCACACTGGCTCTCTGATTCTAAAGGTTTTGCTATTAACCAATTCAAGGTTAACAAAGAAAGGATAATAAAAATAACAGGAGATGTTCATATGTTCAACAATTCAACATGTTTATAAATGCCTGGCACTATACAAAAATCAGACCCTCAAAATTCTTAGTGTGAGAATCCCTAGCCTCCAATTTACTAGCTATTTTTTAAATAAATGGGAGCCTTGCTAAGTCTACAAAATTTTTACTCCTTATTACCTTACCTCTTGATCTCCCCAAACACAAATCAAAACACACTAAAGGGAAAAATGGGTGCATCTTCACTGAGAAATTTGTACTCCTGGGGAATTTAAGGAGTCACATTACTCTTGTGAAACTCTGACCCATAGAGGAGTGGTTACTTTTAGGTCATTTCCTTACAATGTAAGCATTTGGTCTCTTCCCTTTTCATAGTATACACAGACCTTCCAGTTTTCATTCTACATTTCCAAATGTCTGAACAACTTCTCAGCTCCAAAAGTAAACTCCCTATCATTCTCTCTCCTTCTAAATCTCCTTCCACCAAAACTTGTTCTTCAAATAATATCCTTATTTCTGTTAATAACATCACTATCCTCCCAAAACTTTGTCCTAGGCCTATACTCTGGTCAGTTCCCAGTGTCAATGTCACTATCAATGTCAACATCTTTCAAACCTATACCTTCACTACAATCATCACTTCTTGCCTCAACTACTATAATTAAACTCCCTGGTATTCCTACTTTTACACTTCCACTATTCCATTTAACCTGTTCACAAATTATTATCCATAAGAAGAGTTTCTTCTAAACTAAAAATCATATATAAAATATTTAGTCGGACATTTAAGAATCTCCATAATCTGTATCCATCTGTCTTTACCAGTCTGGTTCTTAAACACATATCCTTACCAAATGTACTCTGCTTTTCCCATCCCTTTCCTTTGCTTAGGCAGTGTCCTTAGGTGGAACTTTTTTTCCCCATCCTCCTTCAACTTTCAAATGACCTCATTTTCAATGAAAAAAAAAAAAAAGGCTAAGGCATATAATTTACTGAACATATACTCCATCGGGTGCTTCACAAATTATCTGAATTCCCAAAAAACAAATAAGGAAGGAGTTAAGGAAACTGAGGAGGAGCTTACACCAGGTCACCAGCAAGTAAGAATCCAGAATAGCCCCGCAGCATTCCGTATTTTTTTAATGAAATAAGACACAAAAGAGACAGACATTATCTAGTCAGAATACCTGTGTTCAAATTCCAGCTACTCTACCAGCTACCTGTGTGAACTCACAAGTTATGTATCTGTGATGCCTTAATTCCCCCACTTCCCACTTATAAAAAGGGAATAGGACAGGCACGATGTATCACACCTGTAATACCAGCACTTCGGAAGGCTGAAGCAGGTGAATCACTTGAACCCTGGAGTTTCAGGCCAGACTGAGTAACATAACAAAACCTTGTCTCTACAAAAAAAAATTTTTTTAATTAGCTAGGCATGAGGGTATATGACTATAGTCCCAGCTACTTGCCCGGCTGAGATAGGAGGATCCCTTGAGCACAGGAGGTCGAGGGTGCAGTGAGCCATAATCACACCACTGCACTCCAGCCTGGGCAACAGAGGCTCAAAAAAAATAAAGATAAAAAGTAGACAATTAACTGTCTACCACATCAATGACTGTAAGAACCACAAGAGATATTATAAGGTACTTAGAATTGTATTTGGCTCATAGTAACCAATCAATGTTAGCTACGTTATTTAGTTGTTACTGATGTACTATGATATATAAACTTTGACAATACCAATCATATACTCTGTTGTTCCCAAATCAACTTTTGTGTAATGTAAAAGATTCATATAAGTTTAATATTCTGCTTCTACATATACTCAATAAATATCTACAGAATACGTAAATTTTTGAACAATGACTCACCAGTAGGCTTTATTAAAAGGAATTCAGTTCTAACTTTGTTTCCTCTTTTGAGAAAAGTTAACAATGCTTACCAACTTTCTTCCCCTTTTTATGTCATGTGAAACTATCATATGCAATACCATACGGTAGTAACATGACAAATGGTGCAAAACACTGTTTTGATTGAAACTCATTTGCCTCCTGCTAAAGGCCATTAATTCTCAGATTTTAAAATATTGTTATTTAAATGCCAATCATTTGTAGGTCACACCGACACGAAGTAAATAGATACATTCCATGATAGTTGACCAAGCCATTTCATTTCATACATTTCTTATGGCAAGAACTATAAGACATAAAATGCCATTCTATTCAACTTAACTCAGACATAAATCTATCCGTGTAGTCATACCCTTAGTCCTACCCTCACTTAGTTAAAGTTAGTGCCTGTAAAAGTTGTGATAAATCTATGTTATTCTGGAATGCAGAAAAATATTAAGGGAAGAAAGCTGAATGTTGCCAACAATTTATGCCCCTCCAAAATTATTGAGAAAATTAGCTTTATATAAGAATAGATGAGAACTTATCCTATACCCTTCAGTATTATACCTCTCAAACCAAGATTTTCTCTGTGATTTGCATTACACATAAAGACTTGCCTAGCTTCAAAGGCAGAGGTAAAAAATACACTAATAAAACAGCTGTCATTCCCTACACAGAGAAAAATAACTGTGCTTCTCTCCAATAGTTTCCAACAAAACAAAACAAAAAACTTATGTAATAGACAAATTTTATTTCATTTAATCCTCATAACAACTCATAACAAGAACTCCTTATTTATGGAAAATGTCACAGAATTAGTAAGTGGCAGGGCTGAACTCAGCCTGACTCTCAAATTTGGAATCTAGTATTTTGAAACATTTGTTTTTGCCATAGTCCGTAATATACTTTACATTTTCATCTTCCTCTTGACACACAACATATTTTTAAAAACTGAAACAAAAGCTTCTTGCCATAATACTTATTTTACTTCACACAATGTCCTCTGGTATTTTTTTCTTTCTTTTGAATGCTTATGTCGATGTACTAAATTGATTCTAAAATCTATTAATGCATTCTTACGGGCCCTAAACTACAGCACTGCATGACACTTCTTACCGCCTATTTAAACTTCTTTTTAACTGCTACCACTGTCCAGTTTTGTTACTTTGAGATGGAGCTGATCTCCACCCATTAAAAAACTGTGCTTAAATAGATTATAATTCTTAAAAGCCCTACCTTAAATCTTGAATTGATCTGTTTCTCTACAAGAACTCTTTGGAGGCAAAGCCACCTTACTTATTTATATTGTATCAAAAACTGCAGATGTTCTCCTCGGAGAACAACACATCATTGTTGGAAGGAATGCATTAGTTTTCACTGTTCCTGCTGCATCACTGACAGCAATAGCTGGACAGGTTTGTGCAACAAGAGGACCTGAGCAGCTGCCCACGGTGCTGAAACTGATGATGAAACGACAGTTTTAGAAATTTACTATTGTCAGATTAGGACAAAATAGAGGAATTTACCAGACACTGGCAGAGAACACTGAGTGGCTGCCACCAAAGTTGCGTGAGTGCTTCCGGGATACTACTGTTTGGCTTCGACGTCTGCTCGCTCGCTCTCTGAGACAAAGTTCTTTAATAAGTGCAGATCAAGTCAAGCGTACTGGCAGAGCTGCTGACTTACCGTAGTATCCGGCCCTAGCAGGGGTCACGTCCTAAACCTGCAAACTGAGCTTCCAGGGGGAAAAAAAGCGCGTGGGGGTAAAAGAGAGGAAGTGACTGCCCTCGTTATATTCAAAGAAGAAACAGCCCCCTCAACTCAATTCAAGCGATTTGCCCGAGGACGTTGCGGCAGGTGCTGAACCAAGAAAAGCCTTCCAAACATACTTCCAGGCTCTTGCAGCCTCAAGAAAGGAACAAGAGAAGCAAAACCGGTAACTCAACAACTTTGGACACAAACTCGCGAGATGAGAGGGCAAGGCAGACTCGGCCCTCGAGGGCAAGGCTATTTTATTCCTTTTGCAAAAAGCCTAATTCACTCCTCGTCCAGCTCTAGAGGAGCAGCAAAGACCTCAGCAGCGGGGCCGACTCCGAACTCGAGGGCCAGCAAGCGGGGTGTGTTCTCTGAGCCGCCCAGTAACCCGCTGCCCGGCTGCCGCCACGCCCGACAGTCTCTTACCTGAAGTCCGGCCCCCGCAACACAACAGTCTCGCCCGCCGCGTCGCTGCGGGAGAAGTCCCTAAGCTGACTTCATGACTGAATATCCGCACCGACCGCACAGCCGGGAGTACGAACGCGGACGCCAACACCGAGGCGAAGCGGAAGTCCCGCCTCACGCGCCTCATTTGTCCACACCCAAAGGCAGAGAAAAACCATTGGATCACATAGTTGCCTGTTAAGGCTCCTTCCCACTCTCACGCGGAGTCTCTCTGCTTGCTCCAGCCCGGCTCGGAGAAATGCCCAGTTTGCGAGTCTCGTTCTTGGCCGCGTGATCGGTCTTCCCTGGAAGGGAAGGGTAGGGTGGGGCGGGCGTCTGGCGAACTGGAGCGCTGCTGAAGAAGCTGCTTTCGACAGGGGCAGGCTGGCAGAGTGGATTGACCGTGGGCGCCTGCCGCTGACGGTTTCCCCCTAGAAACGGAGGCAGTAGGGTCTGGAGGGCGCGGGACTGAGCAGGCATGGCCGGTCGGCCTGATCCACTCTGGCTGTTGGGAAGGAGTAGCCCAAGATCTGGCTGCGCGGCTGCCCGCGGGCGGGCCTGGCTCTGGCACCGACGCATCTCTTCCCTGCACACTACACTCACCCGACCTACTAAAGACACGAGGACGAGGCCGCATCGCCTCCTGCACGGTGTCCAAGTCTGAGATCAGGGTGGGTGGGACACCTTAGAGCAGGGGTCAAATTGTTAGAAGTGCGAGCAGCCGGAGGTCTGAACGCCACTCCCCTGAGACCTGGCTCGGATCCGCGCTGACATAAACACTCTGGGCCCGACGCGCGCCATCCCCGGGGCTTAGCAAAAGTCAAACCATGTGATTCTGGCCTTAGGTCAACCTTTTAAAACCCTTGCCTCCTTTTGATGAACCAAAAATCTCGTCCCCTGCCGCCCTTCTGAGAAGCCTTCCTTTCTGGTTGTCCCAGTCTTAAACCAGAGGAAACTTAAATTACCGGACTGTACCATCCACACTGATTAATCACTGCCAACTCGCCACCTTACAAAAGCAGTGTGACTTAGTGCAAAGATTACAGAGTCCTGAACTAGAATGTCAGGAAACAGAATCAGGCCCTACTTCTTCAAATAAGGCACTTTTAATAAGACCTTTACAGGCTTCAACTCCCTCAAAATCATTTTTTTTTTAAATGGTGGCAAGGAGGCTATCACATAGATTAGTAGAATACCGTTGGATTTAACTTGTAACTTTGATTGCTTGGAGGACGCTGAGTAGGTGGGACACAGTATTAAAGGATAGACTCTTTCCTTATTGTGTATCCTTTAGTGCCTTTTGAATTTTGAACCTTGTAAATATTACCTACTTAAATAAAATTCAAATACAAAAAATTTAAAATCAAATTTTTAAAGATTTTAAAAAGCCATCAAAGGTACTTTCCTCTTCTGTGTATCCTAGACTGTTCTATGTAGTTTTAACTTTTCGTTGGTTGTGAAGACATTCAAAACTTAAATTACAATTCTGCCTTTAAGGAAGTCATAAGGTCAGCATTGAGAATATTACTAAGAAGACTAGTGTAATTAGTATAAACATTTATAATATCTCTATAAGCATTTTTAATTAAATTATCTTAGATTGGTATATTAAATCAGATTTCTTGCATGACATAAAAAAAAATTTTTTTTTTTTTTAGGCCAGTGGCTCAGGCCTGTAATCCCAGCACTTTGAGAGGCCAAGGCAGGCAGATCACTTGAGGTTAGGAGTTCAAGACCAGACTAGCCAACATGGTGAAACCTCTTCTCTACTAAAAATACAAAAATTAGCTGGGTGTGGTAGTGCACGCCTGTAATCCCAACTGCTTGGGAGGCTAAGGCAGGTGAATCGCTTGCACTAGGGAGGTGGAGGTTGAAGTGAGCTAAGATCCCACCACTGCATTCCAGCACAGGCAACAGAGCGAAACTCCGTCTCCAAAAAAAAAAAAAAAAAAAAAGTTTAAATCGACAGAGAAGAGCTTTGGGTTTTGTTGTTGCTGTTGTTTTATTTTTATTTATTTTAGAGACAAAGTCTCAACTCGGTTGCCCAGGCTAGAGTGAAGTGATTAAATAGTGTCTCACTGCAGCCCAGAGCTCCTGGGCTCAAGTAATCCTCTCACCTCAGCCTCTGGAGTAGCTAGGACTACAGGAATGTGCCACCAGTCCCAACTAATTTTTTTATTTTTTGTAGAGATGGAGTCTGGCTGTGTTGCCCAGGCAGGTCTCAAACTCCTGGCCTTAAACGATCGTCTCACCTCAATCTTCCAAAGTGCTAGGATTACAGGTGTGAGTCACCATGGTCAGCCAAAGAGTTTTGCTTATTCCTTAAAGGCACCTTGAATACAGCATATCTTACTTCTGGTTTCAATCTGCTCTTCAGATCACAATAGGTATAGTTCTCTCAGTTATGAACAAGTTAATGTGTTATTTGTAACTGCATTTAGGCTATACTCTGCAAAAAACACTCGATCTCCCAACCTGTGCTGAAAAAGGTGAACTGGAAAAATAAATATATTGGAAAAATGTATTAATTTTTCTAAAGCAGGTTAGACAGTAAGATTGACAGATATAGTTATTATAGTTTTCAAAAACATTAATGGTTAATAAGGCACATGATACTAATATACCACTAATTATCTTTTTATGAAAACAAAATATGCTTTTAGGATGGTGTAGCTAACAGAGTTTTTTTTTTTTTAACCTTCCTAAAATGTACAAACAGATAGCATGTAAAAGTAATTGCAGAATCTCTTACTTCCAAAATATTGTAAGGCAACAACTACAGCAAAAAAAGACAGATACCCAATTATGTAATTATCTGAAATGGCTTAGTAGTTTTCCTTAAATACCAAAAAGAATGCAGGCAGTTAAGGACAGAGATTAATCAGAAACATTAAACAATTCTATGTATTATCATATTTAGAGTCAGAAATAAAGGTAATTTTAGAATCAGGAAAAAGGTATTTTCATTTTGAAAACAAAATAAAATTATTACTATTAAAAAGAAAGAATAAGATCCATAAAGAATTTATATATGTATGGAATGAGCAATTTTGAAAAGTACAAAACAGAATTTCTAAAAATAGCATCGGGGAACTTTTAGCCAAAGATTCTAAAAGATTCTCGTTTCTTTGCCAAGTTCCAAATTAATGAATAGGTTCATTTAGTAAGATAAAAAGTGAAAGTTCAGAACCCAAGGAGATACATATCAGTTAGAAGGTTTTTCAACAAAGTTTACCCAAATTTATTTTCAAGGAGTTGAGAAAGATCAGACAGAAAGAGGTATATTTAATGTTAAATGCCTTAAAAATGATCTCGTCATTGTTTTATGTGGGATGGGTTGCTTCCCTCTCTTTTATCTAAGATGACTGACATGCAAATTCACCTTTTTTGGTGGGGCATTGAGAACCAGTTTTCCTCTATTTGCTAAAAAAGGAATATACAAAATAAGCATGCAAAAACTCATATGACATAATGCAATATAAAGATGGAAGAAGTCATTGGGCTGTGAACTGATATAATCACATTGGGAAACAATTTGAAATTGTCTAGGGAGGGTGAAAAAGAAAATTTTCTATGGCACAGCAGTTCATTCCAAGGAATATACCACAAGAAACACAAAATAAATTCTTATTTAGACACATTGTAATACAATTTAAAGAGGATCAAGGAAAAATAAAAGTTTTTAAACAAACAGCAAAAGATGAAATACAAAGGAATGATAGCAGACTTCTTAATAGCTACAAAAAAAACTAAAAGTCAATGAAATAACATCTTCAAATGTCAAAATAAAATAGAACTGTCAGTTTAGAATTATATACCTAGTTAAGCTGTCACTTAAGAGTGAAGGCAAAATAAAGATATTTTTAAGGAAAATCAGCTTTTATCACTAACAGACTTCTACTAAGAGAATTTGTAAAGAACGTCTTCAGAAAGATGAAAATCAAACCCAGAAAAAAAGAGATGAGATGTAAAAAAAATATATATTGAGTATGATTTCCAAACCAGTAGACATAAAAAGGGGGAATAAAGAAAGCAATTACTCAATATAAAGCAGAAAAGAGGAGGTGGGAAGAAGCACATAAAAGGTATTGTAAATGGCAAATTCAAAATGAGATGGAGTAAGTGATATCAGCAAGAAGGTGAAATAGGAGCTCTTTACTGTCATCCCCCTGTAGAAACAACCATTTTGAAAACTACCTCCAGATGAGAGTACCTTTGTGGAAGTCCAGGAGTCCAGTGGAGAAGTTTCAGCACACTGTTGGACTTTTTTTTTTAGGCCAGGAATTTGAGACCAGCCTGGTCAACGTGGTGAATCCCTGTCTCTACTAAAAATATGAAAAAACGAGCTGAGTGTGGTGACTCGCATCTGTAATCTCAGCCACTCAGGGGCTGAGGCAGGAGAATCGTTTGAATCCAGGAGGCGGAGGTTGCAGTGAGCCAAGATAGTGCCACTACACTCCAGCCTGGGCGACACAGCAAGACTCTGCCTCAAAAATAAAATAAAATTTAAAATTCCAGAATAGATAAATTGAAGTGGGTAAGAATAGTTTTGCTTTTTCTGCAACACCGCTTCCACTAGATGGCAGAGTTCAGTGCCAAGAGAGACCTCCCTTGGCCAGCGATTTCTCTCACAGGAAAAGTGAGAGCTTAGTGAGTGAGCACCTGTCTCTCCCAGCCACGTGGAACACGGCCCGTGAGATCCACAGCCAAAAACGATTAACAAAATGGCAATAGTAAGTCCTTACCTATCAATAATTACCTTGAATGGGAAATGGATGTAATTCTCCAATCAAGACATAGAGCAGCTGAATGAAATTTAAAAAAACAAAGACCCAATTATATGCTCCCTATATGAAGCTCACATCAGCTTTAGGGACATACACAGACTTAAAGTGTGGAGATGGAAAAAGATATTCCATGCAAATAAAAACCAACAAAAGAGCAGGGATTGCTACACGTATATCATACAAAATAAACTTTAAATGAAAAGCTGTAAAAAGAAACAAATAAGCATTATATAATGTTACCCAAAAAAATATCAATTCATTAAGAGGCTGTAAGAGGATGGACGTGGTAGCTCACCCCTGTAATCCCAGCACTTTGGGGGCCAA